GTATCCGGGTGATTACCCTGAAGATAACATTCACATTGTGTTAATTATTGTTATTCTCCTGTTAGCTTATAATACAATTTTGTTTTATTTTTTCATTTTAACATACTGAGGCAAAAGAAGCACACATACCCACAAAACATGAGGTAATTCAGGGGCATGTGTGAGGCCCCACTTTGATTCTTAGCACTGAAAAATAAAGAATCACAAATTCATAAATTGGCTTTATGTAAAATATCAACATTTTTTCATGATTTTATTTGCATTGATTTTTACTCTTTAAATTTTGCATTAAAATATGTATGTTCCTCCCTAAGTGGGTAGACCTGGGGGATCCTCCCTTCAGTTGCACACCAATTTTAATCTGCCTCCCCTTGTCTGGTCTGAGGATGAGAGAAGGTAATGAGTACAGGGTGAGAGAATTGAAGCCTTGCTGAACTGTTTGCAGACCACATGCTCAGGGAATCGGGGGCTGAGGGTGGTGTGGCAGTCATGCAAACATGCTGTCCACGCTGCGCTGCCCTGGGCTCTTGGACAGAGGTCACATAACAAGTTTGGGTCTCCTTTCCCCCACTTGGGATAAGGTCTAACTATACTGTTCAAGCTGCCCCGAACTCACGTAAGTCCTCCTGCCTCAGCCTCCAGAGAGCTGGGATCGCGGGTGTGCACTGCCAGGCATGGCCTCCTGCCCTTCCCCAAGGCTGATAATGGCTTGGAAGCAGATGCTCTCTGGCGCTGGGCAAGCTCCGGGCGCAGGCTCCGCCTGGAGCTGTGCGGTGTCTGTTTCAAGTCACTGGGATTCTTCCCCTGCTGACTGACCCCTTAGCACATTCCCCCCTTCCCTCAGAAGGCGATGAGCAGCTGTGGGCACAGGAGCCTTCCTGCAGGTGAGCACTCTGGGACAGCCTGGGGCAGTGGATGCGCAGGAGGTGTCCGCTGGGACCTGCTGATACTTCCTCAGCTTGGCTCTGTCTCAGGCACCTTCTGCTCACCAGGACACAGTGCTTGGAACCCTGTAGTCACCTGGCTCTAAGCAGGATGCAGGCCACAGGGGCAAAGACAAAGGAAAGCGCTGGCCTGGGCTCGAAAGGAAGCAAGCAGTGACAGAGGGGAAGGCAAGGCCGAGAGGCCTCCGGGACACAGCCCCGCCCAGCCCCGAGAGCAACCCGCTGCGAGGCCCCGCCTCTGCCTCAGCTGCAAGGGCACAGAGCACAGGAGCTGGGGTGACGGTGTCTTGGACGAAGCGGGCGGGGGAGCCGAGGAGCAGCACAGTGCGTTCCCTGGAATCCCCACGCGCCCGTTTCTATTTTTGGAAAATGAAATACAGGTATTAAAGGTCATTTTTTAAAAAGAATGACTCCGGTATTATTAACATTGACAAAAAGGCATTCAGAGTTCAGTGCTTATAACAATAACTGCTGCCTGTGCCAGGTCTTCTGCAGGAGCGGAGGCTCAGCTGAGCCGGCTGTGCCTTGCGGGCGGGGTGGGGGCCGGCTGGATGGCGGGCTTTCCTGCTGCCCAGAGCTTTACACGGATTCTGCTCTCCGGCTGGGATGAACCTGCTGAAACCGAGTTGCTGGAGTGTCTCCTCTTCACCCTCTTTATTGCTATTGGTACAGCACGGTTCCATTCGTCGTTGTGTCCCATCCTGTCGCTTTCTGCTCCACTCCTCTCCTCCAGGAGAAAGAGAAAAATTGCCAGGTACCTGCAGCGGGCCAGGCCCTCCCGCAGGCGCATCCTGAGCGTGCCCCAGTTTCCTGCTAACAGCGTCCTGAACAGACGTCCTCGGCTTGGTGTTGAGGCTCCACACGGCTCAGGTGGAGCGGAGTTTTTATTCAGACCTTGTAGCCTCTCCCGCAGCCACAGCCCTCCGCCTGTTCTGCCCACTGCCCACCGCCTGAAATGCTGACCACCCTCGGGCCCCGGCCCTCAGTTAGGTGGAGAGAGAGCAGGTATCCTGCAAACTCTTGGGACCCTGAACTTCCACAGACAAAGCTACTGTATTTTTAATCTTTTGTTTAAAAGGTCACAGCCTGGCCAGGAGGTGTAAGCCTTTAATCACGGCGCTTAGTAGGCTGGGGCAGGAGAATCAAATGGTGAGTTGAAAGCCAGGCTGGGCCGTGTAGTGAGTTCTAGTCTATCTGAACTACATAACTTTGAGTCATGCGTGAGAAATTGGATAGAGCCTGAGACAATAATGCTCAGACAGCTAAATGTCTCATGATTTCTCTTATAAGAAAGACCAAAAGTATAAACAAGTTGAAGCCTAAAATGGAGAGATGGCAGGGAGCAGGAGGCAATCCTCCAGAGACAGAGAGGAGGGAAGAAAGGAGGAGGGGAAAGAGATGGATGATGAGGAAAGATGCAACGTAAGTGTGTGTCACAGGCATACACCAATTCAGGATATATATAACAGGGCCTACAGGGTCTCACGACTCAGGTCAAACTCATAGTGAGCCTCCTGTTTTCAGCCTCCCGAACACTGGGATTACAGGCGCATGCCTCCATGCCCAGTCTAAAGGAGAATTTTTTTTTTTTTTTAGGTTTTTAAAAGAGGGTCAGAAGTTTCAAAATTTTAATGGAAGAGAGCATGGATTCTCTGTGTTCCTGTTGTGTGACAAGTGTGGGGATGCGTGCGCTCTCCAGCGTCAGTCACTGAGTGAATACAGCCTGACCCTGCCTCCTCCAGGTGACCCCAGCGGTGGCATGGAGCCAGCCCTCTGCTTAGAGCTG